GGGAGGTGTGCAAGGCACATGTGGCCCTCTCGATGCACCCAGAAGAGCGCACACTGAAACTCAGGCACTGAAACAGAACTGGAGGAAAAGAGCAGTCTTCCAGCAAAAAATGTTGCCGAGCACTTACTGTCCCTTGTCTCGTTTTGAGTGATGTTGATGAGGAAGGCATGGCCGTCTCTTCACCCCCAAGAGAAAAGGGGAAACCGGGCTCTGCCTCACAACCTCCCTCCTTTCCAAAGCCAACCTCAGACACGACAGAGCAAGACTGGCAGCTGTAGCTGTCCAGAGCTTCGGGACGGGTTCTTCTCTCGCCCCGCAGGGAGATCCTACCTAGAGGCTTCATCCAGGTGGTCTCCCATCCAAGTCCTGACCAGGCCTAGCCGTGCTTAGCTTCTGAAACCAGACAAAGCTGAGACGTGTTCGGGAGGCCTGGGTGGACTTTTCCTGGAGGGGCGGCAGGTGGGTCTCCCTGGCAACTCCCCGGGGAGGGCAGGCCCCCACTCCACCTGCCAGCCATGCTCCTGGTCTGCAGGTGTGGAAGGAAGATGGCATGTGGGGGGTGGGGGGGGAAGAGAGGCAGGAGTGGCAGAGAGAACTAAGCCCTTAATCTTAACTAAACACATTACTGATGAGCTCATCAACAAAGATCTAATTATTGTGTGTGAGGCCAAGCTTAATTGCTTGTCCTTGACATGCATAATGTACCAAATAAGCCTATTACCTAGTGTAAGCCTATTATTATCATCACCCAGCTTCCTGTCAAAAATATAAAAGTAAGTTGGGCAAGGGAGGGGGGGAGGAAGGGGTACTGACGTTGCACAATTAACAACCAAACGGCCAGGCCAGGAATCTCAATTCTCAAGAGCACCTGTGTTTTCCTTTCCCAACAGCTCAGGTAAAATATGAACTCGCTGGAGGCGGGCAAGGGGGGGGAGGGCGTCTCAGCCTTTGACCTTGTGCCCCCCCCCAAAAAAATGTTCAAAATGGCCAGGAGGGCACACCTCAGCTCCAACTTCTTCGGGTCCAGTTTCGTTAATCCCCAATAATTAACGCCACCTTCTCCTGCATCCAGAATGACCTGGATTTCAAGGGTCTGCTCGGAGCAGGACCCAATCCACCACGGGGGTCCTGTTGAGAGGGCGGACCTTAATGAACTGCGGGCTGATATTCAAAGTCATCCACTTTGTGGACAACTTGTACGGTCTTTACGGAATACATCTCTGGTGGGGGTGCATCAGGCCCCCGCCCGCCCAAGGTCCAGAAAGCAAATAAAATCATGGCTTTTCAGCCAAGCTTTGGAGAGTTTTCTCCCTCTTTCAGTGTTTAATCGTTCCAAGTGACAATACTGTTGCCACCATCTTGGGTTTGTCGATGTCTGTGTGGAGTCTGTGTGGGTGCGTTGTTCTTTTTTCTTTCTTACACCTTCTTTTGAATGGGAAGCCCCAGGCAGCGAAAAGCCACCAATAGTGACTCTCAATAGATTTACGGGTTGATGGGCAAGCAGCAACAAAGTTACATTGGAAAGCCAACGTAGGGGCCAAAATCCGCTTCCTAATGACCATGGCCTTAACACGAACAGCAGAGCTTATGGAGGCAAACGGCTGCGCTTTAAAGCATCAACACAGATGATTATCCATCGTATTTGAAGGGATGTGACTTGGTGCACAACGGAGGAGGTCTGCAGAGATGTTTTTACTCAAGGCAATTCCCTTCCAAAATCTGCACCACTTGCATACTGTAAAATCTCAACAGGATTTTGGCCATCTCGTGGAAACATCTTCACTTGATGGAATGAGTGGGGCTCCCTGCTTACTTTTTGAAAGTTACTTTTAAAGCACTTTTTGGGGAACACTCAGAAAAACTTTTTAGCTTTTATGCCATTCGCTTTTGAGAAGCAAGCAGCCATTGCCAGACCCGTGGTCATGGCCTGTCCCTCTCTGTGGCCAGGGGCCCTTGGCAAGCCCTGGCCTTCCAGGGGCCCCCTCCCCGGCCACCCGGTTCTCCTCCCCTTGGCCCCGAATCCCCCCTCCCTCCAGGGGGGCCGGGCTCCTTCGGCTCGTCCCTCCCTAACTAAAATGCGCTAAGAAGACCAACCAGGTTGCCCGCGCCGGCTGCAGCGGCGTCCCCACCCGCACACACGGGCACCACACAGACTTATCACTACTCACAGGATGTTTACAATAATTTTTAATTTGTACAATTATTAATCATTTTTCTATCTGCCTCATTTGCATAATGATTAGCCTGCTCAGTGTTTGCCATGACTGTGAATGACAGCATTTTAAATTAAATTAAGATTTTAATATCCTCCCCCTGCCTTCACTGCCGCCCCTGCTTCCTAGGGCTAAGGCTAATCACGGCTGACCGGCGATGCTGGCTTTGAAGGCGGCCGCTGTGTTTCCGAAAGCGTCCCTCGTAAGGGACCCGCGGGGGGGGGGGGCAGAACGCCTACCATCCTGCAAGCCTCCAGCAATGTCTCTTTCCAGGGCTGAGAGAGCAAACAGACCCTACAAGCACCTTTGCTTAAGCATTACACAGCCAAACCACACATCCCAGGTAGCCTGCTATTGGACAAAGAAGTTCCATTAAGGGCTGAGGGTCTCTCTCTCTCTCTCTCTCTCTCTCTCTCTCTCTCTCTCTCTCTCACACACACACACACACCTTCCCCAACTGGCTTGCTGTGTTCTCTGATTGGTCTTCATGCCCTAGGCACGGTTCTTCGTTTGCAAGTCAGATTTCTTGAACTCAAACACAGCCCAGCTTTGATGCCTACCTCAGGAAAAGCTGCCAGGGCCTTCTCCTCCGGCCCTCAGAGGGACATTCCCACCCCAAAGCTAGAAGATGGCACAGTGGGGAGAGGATGATACCAGGAGTGATCTACTCTAGCCGCCCCCACCAACACCACTACAAACCATCTAGCCTTAATCTGAAAACCTCCAACCAAGGAGACACCCCCAAAGCAGCCTGCTCTGCTACCCATCGGGAAGCTTCCCACTCAGCGTTTCATCCACGTCTCCTTCCTCGTTGCCTTCCATGCGTCTGCTCAGGCTCTGCCATCTGAACCATGAGAAAAGAAGCTTGCTCTCCTGCCCAGAACTTAGGAGGTATTTGGGGGTGGGGGTTGCGCTTAAAGTGGTCCCCACTTGAGAACAGCCACGCCAGCAGCACCAACAGGACGGAAGGCTCTGGCAGCCAAATTTGATGACTCCACAGTGTACAAATTCAGCGTTCAGCAGGGAGATCCCCGGGAAGGGATCCACGCTCACTCTTGGGTGGAACTTCTCAACAGAGGAGCAGGAGCAGAGCTGCAAACGTCTAGGCTGTTGGGCACCTGCTCGGCATCCAGAATTGTCCAGATGCAATCCGAAGTGTAATCCGATAAAAGGGGGAAAGTAGCCGGGAGGCACAAGAGGAAAGCCACTGCCTGAGGAAGGACCAGGCCACCGGCTCCGTGGCTCTCCAGCGGCTGGGGCACCCCATTTCCTTCCAGCACAGCCAGCGGCCAGGGAAGCTGTAGCCTTGCAGATCCTGATGGGGCTCAAAAGCACGACACCTCCGCACCATGCAAGAGCTGGCTGGGCTGTGGGGGGGGACACCTAGCTGCCATCAACCCTGTTCCATTTGTTTTTAATTCAACGGCTTCAGGAAAACGCACCAATGGTTCTTTGAAAGCCAGGTTTCATGAGCAAAGAACAAGCTCCCCACCACAAAAGGTTTTCCTCCTCCTCACTCCGCACCCCACACCTTCATCATCGCTCTTTTGAAACCTGCAGGAGCTGCATCTTCCAGGGCCTAAAAGAGGATCTTGAGACGAAAGTAGCATTAACATTCGTATCTCCTCCACCCCACTTCTTCCCCACATCCACTTACAGCTATACTTGATCCAAATATATTAACTGAACGGGAAACTAAAAAAAAACTACACACAGAGTACTGCCACTTCACAGCTGCTCTCTTCAAGGAGCACTTTGCATTGACCTAAGGAAGTTCCTCACACACAGAGCAAGGAATTCTCTTATGACCGAGGAATTATTCTAGCGTCTCTCATGCCTGGCAGACAAAAATCACTTCTTTCGCCCCTCCGGCTTCAGTGGTCTTTCCCAGCAGGGCCCTTTTCAAAGTCAAACGGTTCTGAGACATAACTACTCATCCAAGAGACGAGGCACATCAAAGATCTGCAAGCCAGAAACGAATCCCATTTGGACAGAGGGAAAGCAAGCGAGGGGAACCTCCTCCCGGCAGGCCTCCAGGTGTTCAGCCGAGCTGTGCCAGGGGAAGGCTCAAAGCTCAGGACCGGCTCTGGACCAGCTGCAGAGCCTAAACGGGCCCCGGGCCCTTCTTCCTTAACGAGGCCAGCACAATCCGCCTTCTGTTGTCTGCAAACCCACCTAATACAGTAGAGAGGATTGGGATCAGGAAAGGATGTTTGGGCAACCCAAGAGTGGACGAGCCCGCTGGAAGGATCCAACTTCAAAGAGTTCACTAGGAGTGTAACTCTCACACATGGAAATGAAAAACCTCTGAGGTACTTTTTTCCCCCCTTGACTGCAAGTAAATAAATAAATAAAGGTCAATAAATCATTAAGTGTAGTCTTTACACTTACATGATTACTACAACACCTGCTGTCTTATTGCATAGACTTGTGAAAAATTAGTAAGATTAAATGGTTTGCACACTTCCTTGCCTTCCCTACTCCTTGGCCACGGTAAGCTTCTGAAAGGGGGAAAAAAGGGAAAAGGCACGGACTGGGTTTTCCACCTCGTATAGAAACGGTGATAGAAAAGCCCTCCTCCTCAAGGCCTTCAACTCTTGCTGGAAGTGAGGAGGGGGCTTAATGCATACGGCAGACTCTCTCTTGCCCAGAAGGAAATTCTCTGCAGGAATTCTGCTTTCTCTGAAGTGAACATTTTGGGTGTTATGGGAGGGTAGAGGAGCCACTTAACCAGTCTCTGCTCATGCTCGGGTGTAGCTGTAAGAAAAAGACACCTAGAGTCTAACATTCAATAAAAAAAGGAGCATGTTCATTACAAAGTGTTATGACCAATATCCAAATTACAAAGGAAGTAAGAAAGCCCTCCCGCTCTGCAAAAGCTACTGCTTTTCATTAAAAAGTCTTTGCATTTGGCTCCTCTGTACTGGATGAGAGTTCCCATCAAAGCGCTTCAAAGAAGACAGGGGTTTCTGGGAGAAACGCAAGATTTTTAAACTCTGTCTGGTAACTTTCCGTTTGGTCACTGGCAAAACGTATAAACAGAGAAAGCAGTGGCCGGGCGCCACCGCCCTCTTTCAGAGAAAGGCTGTGGAAATGCAAGCTGACCCCCTGCCCACCCTCAACCCACACCCTCCACAGGAGCAAGAGGGAAAAGGTCCAGGATGTGCCGTCCGTCCTTCCTGGCACCGCAAACTCTCATTGCCAACCACAACATCCTTTAAGAGGTGCCAAGCAGGGCAGTCCAAGCCTCCCACCCTGCGGCACCAAAGGAAGGTTTTCAGGTAAAGGACTCCATCCGAAGCGCTCCTCTGGTTTGGGGCACAGCTGAAGAGGACGGGCTGCTTCTTTCAGCTGTGCTGGACCTCCATCAGCTTCCATCCAGGTTTCCCCGCCCTGGCCGATGCCGTCCTGCCCTCCGAAGAGACTCTCCTTCTGTCTGGCCAGACACGGACAGCTGTTTCTGTGCCCTTCCTTTGGAACCTGGGCGATGAGCCCCGTCACTGGGTACAGGGCCAGAGAAAACCCTCAGCAGCAGCCTTATCACCGTGTGGAAGCTCCCTGCTATCTCAGGCCCGCCGAACCGCCATCACATGTCCTCCACACTCCACTTGTAGGCCAACTCCTGCACCGCCTTCTTGCTTGCAATTCTGGCAAAGCGCTTCTGCTCAAACCCGTTGGACCTGTAGAAAGAAGGCCAATGGGAAGGGGGCCCATAAGGAACTCTGAGAAACAAGGTACATACCTCCTGGAGGCACTGGAGGGTCTCCACAGCACAAGCCTCACCTTCCCAGGCCCCAGGGTTCAAGTCCAGAAAGCACAGGACGGACAAGAGATGGTGGCAGCAGCCGCTCCTGGGGTGTGTGTGTCTCCCAACACCCCTGACAGAACTTCCGAGATGGCTGGAGATATCACAGGGGCTCTGTCCCCCTCTCGTTTTCTGAATTAGGAAGGCCAGAGTTCTTGGAAGAGGCAGAACAGTTTCCAGCCCTTTCACAAAGGAAGGTTTCCCTCCCCTTTTTTAACCAGTCTCCTCAGCCTTGGGTCAGAGCTGCACGTGGGGAATACCGTCTGCATCCCTCATCCGGTTCCTTGAACCCCCCGATGGCCACTCCTGTGTTTGAAATAGGGCCCACCTGTCAACTCCATCCCAGCGATATCCAGGCCAGATGTTAAACCGATTGAGCGGGGGTGCTGGTCCGTTATATCGTGGCTTTTCTGGTAGAGACAGAAGGAAAGAAGCAAACAGCCTCATTATTTTTCCATCAATAAGCCAGAATTATGCTACTGTCGCCTCGATATACACAGCACCACGGGCAGGATGTGACTCCGCTCGGGACCCCTAAGGAGCTTGCAGAACCGAAGGGAAAGACCACGGGCGGATCCACATGCAGACCCACGAGATGGCCAGCCCCTTCCCCACTGACTCCAGCTCTGCTCCTCCCTCCTGCTTTCCCCCAGCAAGACCTGGCGACCAGGGACCCCTGACCTTTGGTATCTTTCCTCTCCTTGGATGCCTTCTTCTTCCTGATGAAATCGGCCATGGGGTCCCCTTCGCGTTCCTGCTCGCGCAGCATCTTGTCCAGGTCCTGATCGTCGATGTACCGAGCCAGGGGCTTCTGCATTTCTTTCACGGCATCCTCCACGTTCTGCTGCTGCTGCCGGCTCTGGGCCAGCCTGAAAGAGACACGGTGCAGAAGAGGAACAGAGAGCGGCTGCTGGACACCCAGGGAGTGATGTGGAGCAGAGCAAAGTGGGCCGGCTGCTTATTTACCACCTCACCTCTCAAGATGGAGGCAGTCTTCCCTCCCCCCGCCCTCCCCCCCAGCCAATGAGTTCTTCTCTCTGGGGTAAGCGATGTCTGTATCCAAGGACAGAGAAGCACTCTGCAGGCAGAACAGCCAAGGGGAAAACCATTGGTCCCCACCCATCCGCCCCAGCCAGAAAGGGTCACACAGAAGATGCTGGGAAAGACAGAGCCAGGAGGCGTCGTCAGTCAGTCTGCGCTGGACCAACTGACTCTCCTTCCTCACCTTCCTACAGAAAAAAAAGGGACTTTGCAGATGGCTTTCCTGGCATGAGGTCACTCACCCCTTCCCCCACTTGGCATACTGCTCATCTCGCTCGGACTTCTCTTCGGCTTTCTTCTGCTGTTCCAGCCGCTCCTGCTTCAGATCCCTCTTGCGGCCTGACTTATCCCTGAAAATGGTTTCTGCGCGCCGTGATTCAGCTGCAAGAGAAGTCGGGAATCCAAGTCAGACACATCACAACACTCCCACGATCGCCCGACCAGGGCACTCCCTCTTGGGTTCGTTGTGCAAAAGGATTTGGGTACTTCCAGAGAAGAGAAAAGCACAAACTGAACTAATTTTTAAAACTGGCAGGACATGTATCTTTCTGCGCTACAAAAGCTTACTTCCGGACTCGTGCTGAACTAAGGTTTGCCTGCCCACGGTCCAGGTATACTCCTCATGGGAGCTGCCTAAGTCAACTACCGAAATGTTTCTGTGTATGTTCTTTAGACATGGCCCCTAGTTGGTTCATGGGCTGTGTGAAGGCTGAGCAACCGCAAACCAGCCCACAACAACATTTTCCCTGGCCTCCCTCCGTTTCCTATGTTGGAGGAACCCCCACTGGGAGCAGCAGATGGAAGGAAAGCACTTCCGGAACCATCAGGCTGGTCATTACCAGATCCTGCAGAAAGGCCTGTCTAAAGCAGTGGTCCCCAACCTTGGGCCTCCAGATGTTCTTGGACTTCAACCCCCAGAAGCCTTCACCACCACCTCTGCTGGCCAGGATTTCCGGGAGTTGAAACCTGGAGGCCCAAGGTTGGAGACCACTGGTCTAAAGTATTGCTTCAGCCCGCCTCTCCCTTCAGAAACCATTTTCAGCCCCGCTTCACCAACATGCTCCTGGGGCTTCTGAGGACAGAAACCAGCACAGCTTAGAAGACTGTGCCTTGGGAGAGCTGGATTGAAGCCTTGCCCGCACCACAGATTGGTTGGTTTCCTTAGGAGACCATGAGTAAAACTACCCTCTCAGCCCTCCGCCTGCCCTCCCCTGGACAGATGGGCCCGGACGGACTCACCTTCCAAGTGCTTGCTGCTGCCGCCACCCTGCCTTTTGAGCTCCTGCTGTTCCTTCCTCAACAATTCTGCCGACACCAAGCCAGCTTTGCCTCCTGACAGCATCTGAGAGCCCTGCAAGCGAAAAGCAGTACAAAAGCTGTAACCTGTACAAACAGAAGGTAGTGACCGGCATCTTCTCGCAGAAATTAATCAAAGGGACCAGATCAAACCACACTTCTTTCAGGCTAGTGGGAAAAAAACTGATGAAAAATTCCCAAATTCCAAATTCTCTGGCGCTCCTGGTTGGAGCAAGACCTTCTTACCTTCAGGCCGTCTCCCTTTCGATGCCCAAAGCAAAGCCCTCACCTGCTGACTGTCACCCCTTCCTTTGGCATCCCTGGCCCGATGAGGCGGAGAGGAGTCAAGGGGGCTCCTGGACTCGGGCAACTTCTTATTGCCTTCCTGGCCCCTCCGCGGAGGAGATAAATCAGAATCCGGAGACTTGGGCCGATTCCTTCTGGGCGGAGAAAGATCTGAAGAGGGATTTTGGAGATGCGAGCCCGTCTTGTGAACGGAACGTGGGGGGGAGAGATCTGAGCCTGAGGAAGCTCTGACACTCCGCCGCTGCCGCCGCGAAGTAGAACCAGAACTGGACCCTGAATCATGTCTATGACGCTTTCTTGGATGGGGCTCCTTTTTGGCCGGAGAGACTGCAAAAAGCAAGACAAATATCAGAACACGTGAGAAGCTGAGCAGGGTTTCATCACAGACTCGTGGTGATCCACAACCCAAACAACTTTCCGCAACTCTACTCACTTCTAGGAGAAGCCTGCTTCTGAGACAGCAAAGCATCGGCCTCAGCACCACGTGCTTTCTTCCAGGGGGGTAAAGAAGAATCACCAGCCTTTTGGCGCTTCTGAGAAGCTGAGTGTTCACCTGACAAGCGTTCTTGTTCACCTCTGCTCGAAGTTCTGCCATTGTTTTTACTAGATACAGAACGATGTCTTCTGGGAGACAAATCGAGTAAGTCACCATGGCCCCTCCTGGGGGGAGACTGATCAGATGAGTTATGGCGGACTCTCCTGGGTGGAGACTGATTGGTGGAGTCATGCCGGCCCCTCCTGGGTGGAGACTGATCGGAGGAGTCGTGCCGGCCCCTCCTGGGTGGAGACTGATCAGGAGAGTCGTGTCGGCCCCTCCTGGGTGGAGACCGATCTAGCAAATGCTTTTGCTTGTTTTGCTTTGAGTCTTCTGAACTGAAAAGCAAAGTTACAAAGATATATACTGTATATAAATAAATAAAAATAAAACTCAGTATAGACAGCAGAAGTAAGCACCAAGTCTCTCTCCTGATCAAAGAAGAAAGGGCCAAGTGTTTGCCCGGGTTCCTGGTGCTGGCATGTAATGTCATCTGTTACCAGAAGCACTGTCCCCCAATACACAGCATGAGCAGATGCCATGCCAAGGGTTCACCGTGTGTTCAATCTTGTCCAAATCATGCAACGACTAACATTTCAGCTCTCAATTGTTCTTATATGCTATCATGACGCACAAGCTTCTAGCCGTGTAAACAATTATGCTGGAACTTTCCTACCTGTTTTTGGTAAGGCTGCAACTCATTTTGTCTCCAAATGTTAGCAATTTCACAACCAGCACATAACAAAAGCTAGCACTACTGTTCCTCTTTCCATCCAAAGCCAATTTTATACAATTGTTGAAACAGGAAGGTAAAGGACACCCATCAGCAAAAGTTAAAATGATCCTGACAGAGTTTTGCCTATCACACCACAGAAATCTGTTTGTAAAATGCAGTAAGTACACAGATCCAGAGAAAGCAGACTACACTCCTCACCTATCTGTTGATTTCATAAGGACAGGAACGTCAGAACCCCATGAGTCTTCATTCTGACCTAGAAAAGAAAACCAAAAAAGCTGCATTTGGAAACTAATTGTATTTCTTTTGCTGTGCAATTACTTTTCCTTTACAAAGAGAAAGAAGGAGTCTAGAAAACTAATCTAGGCATGAATTCCACATGCATTCTCACACTCCCAAATCAGACAAAAGACTGGGGTGGCTTAAATTAAGGCCTTCAGGCCTTCTGTAGATCACCACAGCATTCTCTTGGAACCCCACTTCCAACGAACTGCCTATCCTACCAAAGGCATGAATAAAAACCTAATAGCCCATATCAGCCAAACTGTACATGGGCGTGCAGTTACTTGCCAACCTCCACATAAGTTAAAGACCAAAAACAGGAAAGCCTTGTTATTTATTTCTGTCACTCTCTTCACATCATGGTTTATCATTTCCATGCCTTTAGAAGTACCGCATAAAGCTAACCTCCCAACAGTTTCCACTTGTTACTGGTTCGGAACGCTTCCATCAGCTTAACTTCTTCTGGCCGCTCGTCAATAAATTCTGCCACCTGAAAAGAAGAGGTAGGACAGGCAATCAAGGGAAGCTCAAATTTCCTGACAAACTACAATACCAAAAAAATAAATCCAAGCCATTATATAGCTTTCACTTGACCCACTCGCGCACATGAACTACGCTATATTCTGAAATGCCCACCTCCCATGAGAACACAATGTGAATCACAATGACCCACAATGAACTCACCTGACAAATACAAGGCCCAAGAGCACCAAGTACAGCTGTAGCGGCCATTGCCTGGCACATTAAACTGCCCAATTCTCAGCACTCAAATACTCACCACCGGTAAGTCTCCATCATCCCCCTCGTCATCATCCTTCTCTTGCTCAACCAGAGTGTTTTTCCAGCTTGTGTCATCATCATCCACAATGCGCATCCTGGGAGGGAAAGGGGGAGGGGAAAGCAATGTGGGGGATCCATCAGAATGGCTCCCAAGCACAGTAAGAGCTGAAGAGGAAGAAAACCTAAACTTCTCTGGAGCAAAAAAACCCGGCAAGAGCCCCTCCTTCCTAGGATCTTGCCCCTAAGAGAGGGCCGTAGGAGGGAAACCGCGGCTCAGGCCCTTTCAGGGCTGGAGGCTGAGGTCGGCCAAGAGACCGCCTCACAAACGCTCCCCTCACACGAGGAGCCGCCGAGCCCCCTGCGCGCGTTCAAAGGGGCTTTCTCTTGAGGAACGACAGCCGGGGCTAGAACCGGGGTAACGAGGGCACTCCCCGGCCTTCCTCCTCCTCCTCACCGGCCCACGGGCAGCTCCTTCCCCGCGTGGCTCCCAGGCTGCCGCGCCGTCGGCTTCTTCTTGCGCCGCTTCTTCCCCGCCTCGGCCCCGCCGGCCTCCAGGTAGCGCCGCCGGAGGTACTCGGCCTTCGAGAGACCCGACGACGGAGCCGGAGCCGAAGCTGCTGCCGCCGCCATCTTCCCCTAGCGCCCGGAAGCGGAAGTAGACGTCAGAGAGCCCGGAAGGACCGCGACCACAGAGATAGAGGAACGCCCCCGTCTTGGAGAGGGCGCGATCGCCCCCTTGCGGCACCCCATTCGCGCCAGGAAACTCACCCGCCCCTTGACAAACCGGGGCGGGGGGGAAGGTTTGGGACTCCAAGTCCTATCGCCCGTGGCTGCTGGGCACTGACTGGGGTTGCAGACCCCCCGCGATGCCTGTTCTTTCGTGTTCTTCCTTAAAGCGTCATTAAGGTCCTTGAGCCTGGCCCAGCGGCGAGGGGCTGAGGATGAGCCAAGGACCTGCTCCGGCCCCTGTTGCTCCAGCCCCCCAGGTGCAAGCCCTCTCACCAGGCTGCCCAGGAGAGCATGACCCACACCCAGCAACGAGGATGAGGGCCCTTTGCTCTGTGCTCCTTTAGCGACAGCACCGAGAGCAAGGGGAACCCGAGGAGGCCGTACTCGCGCAAAGCGTTCCTGACATCCGCTCACTTGAGCACCTTTTCTTGCAGGAAGCAGGATGCAAATGTAACAACGCATACTGTCTTCCTGACCTTCCCACTGGCCCCTGAGGGCCTCCAGGCAGACACAGCCAAGCAGGTCTCGCATTGGCCCAGGCTAGAGACCACAACCCTTCTTCACCCACCATTCCTAACAATGGAGGTGGTAAACTGGGAAGACGCCAAGGGTCAAAAGCGCCTCCTTGTAGGCTCAACAGCCAACTGAAACTGGCCAGTGGCAGACCCCCTCCTCCTGCACACCAGGCATGCCCTCTGGCGGTTTCTCACCACTGCAGAGTCTTTGCGGCTCAGAAAAATCAGTAGTTTTTCTCTCTCTCCTACCAGGCACTGACCTTTGAATTATTAGAATACACTGATATTTCTTTATTGCTCCAGAATAAACAGAAGGAAAAGACAAACACTTGCGGAAAAAGAGGAAGGAAAGAGAGGAAAAGGCTCCCAACCCTTGCACTCCTGAGCAGAAATGCCAGTGTCCCCTCGTCAGGCAGTGGGAGGCACCCAACCCATAACCACAGAGGCAACAAACTCTAATTAAACAAGAATCATGTTAAAATAATACACACCAGGAAGACCAACCTGAAAGGGAGAGGGCACGCTTAGGCTATTTGTGCAGAATGGATACACATAACCCCTAATTCCCACCCTCCCCACAGATATAAACGCAAGTCTCCAAGTACGCAAAGCTTCAGCTTCAGCGGAAAGGCACCGCAGGCGGCCTGCTGGGGTTCACATTCAACCCTGAGGGTCTGGAGCGGCTCCTTCCCAAGACAGAATCTTTGCCACAAGCCTCAGCAAAGCCAGTCCTTTCTGCAGGCTGTTGGCCACGCTGGCGGAGCCTCTGCCCAGCTCTGCTACCGGAGAGGGGAGCCGTCTGCCTCATAGCCCTCCGTTTTCATGTCGTTGAGGCCCAGCTCTTCGTTCTGCTCAAAGAGACGCTCATAGCGCTCCACCTTCATCGCGGGGTCATCCTCAGGCGCATACAGGTTCTGCAGGGGTCAGGAGACGGGGTCAGACACCAGGGGGGCAAAAAACACCCTTTTGCCTACAGGCCGTGGGACCGTCACCCGAGGGGGAGGAAAAGCCATGGCCACTCACGGGCGTTTGCCTCCATCCAGTGTAAGAGGGGACAAAGTGGTTGAGGCAAGGACGGGGGCACCAGCTGGCATCCTCTCAGGTGAACTCAGGGTCTTTGAGCCTAGACCCACACTAAGGCAGCACAGGTGATCAACCTATGAGCTGCAGGACCTTGACCAAGCGTTTCTCCCCACACCTCTAAGACCAGTCGAGAACATACGCTGCAACAGGAAGCTTCATGGCTGAACAGGATTTCAGCTGGAACCCCTCCCTCTCCACAGTGTCCCACCCTGGGCGAGTGAGTGCTGGGCCACTTGGTCCTTCCAAGCCCAAGTCAGGCACTTGACTGGTCCCCTTTCCGGACACCCCCACCCAAGAAAAGATGTCGCCGGTATTCAACCCCCGGTGTTTCTGCATCCATGTTCTGTTTATGCCTTAGCACAACACACCCACCCACCCCGAAGGACTCATTCCTTCTTCAGGCACTTAAAGGTCTCTTCCTATCCTAAACAACGTCTCCATTTCCCCAGCCCAGCCACAGCTGCTTGGAACCAGAAGGCCAGTGGGATCTTTCTCCTGCTGGTTTCCTTCTTGAACTTCTCTTTTCTCAAGGGAATCTTTTTGCTCCTGCCCTGGGGAAACCAAGCTCATCAGAAATGCAATTGCCACACATTCTTCAGTTCACTCCTGTTCCACGTTACCTGAAGGTAACTGTTCCCTGCAGGGTCATCTAAAGTAACGTGCACCTGCAGCTTCCCATCCATGATCTAGGAGAAAAAACAAACCAGTCAGAAACTCCACTCAGCAGAGAAACAGCCTACATTGAGGAGCAGCATTGGACCTCCAGCCCCCCCCCCACAATATCCACTCCCCCCCGCTCAGCAGAGAAACAGCCTACGTTGAGGAGCAGCATGGACCTCCAGCTCCCCCCCACAATATCCACTCCCCCCCAGGTGTGTCCCGTCCTGAGGTACAGTCACTAGAAATCAGTTAGGGGCTCACCTGCTGTAGCTTCCTGCCAAACGCACTGAGTTTTTCCGCTCTGTCAGGGAGGGAACTGTCCCCCAGGTTAAAGGGATTCTTCTCCACCTGTGGAAAAGATGACTCAGCAAGGAGACACTGGCCATGGGCACCCTAATCCAGTGGTTCCCAACCTTGGGCCTCCAGATGTTCTTGGACTTAAACTCCCAGAAATCCTGGCCAGCAGAGGTGATGATAAAGGCTTCTGGAAGTTGTAGTCCAAGAACATCTGGAGGCCCAAGGCTGGGGACCACTGCTCTAACCCACACCTTCCAGTCTCCAAGGGGTCACCATTACAGGCATGCAGATCGGTGACTTTGGACTACAACTCCCAGAATTCCCCAGCACAGAGTCTGCTTTTTCATCCTGCTGCTTCTCCTTCAAGAGATCAGCTCCACATTCTCAGTCTTCCCCTGAAACAGGGCTTTCTGCCAAAACCCACCAGGCCTGGGAAAGAGCAGCAGCTGAAGGGCAGACAATGAGCTAAATGAAAGATCCCAGCTCCCACTGTTGTGCTTAGATTACTTCCCGCTTCCACATCTTGTTTTTAAATGGCTCTTGACCCACTGCTTTACACTCCCTTTGTAGTGGCTGGCTTTTTCCCCCCCTGTAGGCTGTGGGGTGGGGGATACTTTCTTTTTTAAACAGAACTCACCAGGTCACGGATGTCCTTCAGCAAGCCTTCTAGCGTGGTAAATTTCCCGCCCAGCGCCCCCATTCCAAGCTCAAATTCCAGCTCTGGAATCTCCACTCTGCAGGTTTCCGACTATGGAGGATGACATTTCATTTAGTACCTGAAGGGCGAAAGGCTGGACTTGCAAGACAAATAAGGGGAAAGGGGCCTTACCTTCAATAGATCTCTTGTCAAGTCTGAGGAGTCTGTCACTTGAAGAGTTATCCTGGTCCCCAATGGCTCAATGGCCCCTCCGGACTTAACCTGCAGGCAGGAAAGACAGGCCGGCAAACAAGCGTCAAGGTGCCGGACTGCAAAGTCGGAGTGAACCCGAGCCCCTTCCCCGGGGGGGGGCGGAGCCTCACCTCGTTTGTCCTGTGCCCACAGGCATCGCAGTTTGTAGCCATGATGATGACTTCCTTGAAATGGGGAATCTCTGAGAGGTATCCATCAAGGAAACCTACATTTCAGCTCAGGTTTTGGACAAGGTAGCTATGTTTTAGCATGTATAACAAGAACATAACTAAACAAACAATTTTTAAAAAAATGAAGTTATTCTAGTGTGAGCTTCTGGGGATTACAGTCCAATTCCTCATATACACGGGGAGAAACAGGGAGCCACAGGGATGCAGATTCAGGGAAGAAGAAGACAGGCACAGAAAAGGAGACTCCAAAGTGACAACAGCATTAACAACACCCAGCTGTGTACTCTGAGGCTGTTGATTACATCGATATCCTGCTAGCCACTAAAGTGATTGCCTTTCTGTAAACACAGGCTGGTCTTTGAAGTGCTTATTGGGATGCGGAGTCAGGAAGCGGCTTTGGACTTTGTCTTTTTTCCTGCATTATCTTCTGGTAGCACGGTCAGAACCAGTAACCTTGTCCTACAGAAGACTGTGGAGACAGCTGCCTGTTCGTAACACAGACACGTTCAGAGTGAGGAAAGAATCCTGAGCCTGCAGCTACGCCTTGAGATGTCCTACAGAGCTTCCTTTTCTTTACACGCCCAGACTCAAAGCAGCTTGCTTACACAGCCCGATGCCCCACGGGGCCATTTTTACCAGAGACGGCTGCAACAGGTGTCTGTGCTATCAGAATCAAAGACGGACCCTCTTCCAGTGCCAATCTGGCATCCAGAAACCACTGTTGACTCACCTCCCTCAAAAACAGAGACAGGCCAGTTCTATGGCCAAATCGTGCTCTCTCACCCAGAGCAATACGTTTGTCCTCCACCTCCTCTGTGCAGAGCAGGAGTAGAATGCAACATGTCCCATTTTCACAGATGTAAAGGATACGCACCAGCTTCATATTGGTGCTGGCAGGAGCATTACACTCTGGACAGTTTGTGTTGAACTGCAATACCTGGAACAGAAAAAGAGGGATCAGTCAGATATTCCTCTAGAGGTCACCATGCCTTTCCTAAGGACACTAACACCTCTGCTGTCGGGGGGGGGGGGGGGGAGAGGGAGGGCCGCCAAACCAGCCAATAATCCCTCCTCCTGATAGCCAATGTCTCCCTAAGATTGCCCAAGCCCCAGGCGAGGCCCCAAGTCACTCACCTCGTTTCTCAGGTCCTCAGCCGAATCCACCAGGGTCTCACAGGGCTCCTCTGGCTGAGAAAGAACAGAGAAGTTGGATGTGTGTTCCCAGGGGGGAACCTGTTTTGTAAGGATTCAGCTATGGCATGGCTCAAAGATATCCATTGAATGAGAGAAGCCTCCAGAAAGATAGAAGGGTACAAGCTTCTTCCAGTACCAACACCAGGGTCAGGAAGCCCTGGAGAGACTGAGCCGTGCGTTACAGCCCCAGCTTTTTTGAACTAGCAATAGTGCAGTTCACTGTGCAGCCAACATCAGCGCCTTCCACAAATCCACCCCATTCAGGCCCCTTCTAACTCCGGTTACCTCAATTCCAAGCATTGCAGCTTGCTGGGCAGTTCTTCTGTAGTGGGTAACCACCAGCCCCTCATCTTTCAGTGGGGCACGAGGGTTCTCTACAAAGCTGTTACCTGACGGGTCGTCCAGGATCTACCAGAAAGAAAAGCAGTTGCGGAGGTAGAAAGAGGAGATCCTCTTCCTGCTTCTGCAGGGAACTGGGTGGGGTGGGGTGGGGTGGGGGCACCCATCTCCAACCCATCCCCCGGGACAGTTTGTTTTGAGTATGCTTACAAAGGTAAAAGGTGACTCCACTTCCTTCAAGTGCTTCAGCTTAGAGATGAATTCATCTATCTTTTTTGCCACGTTGGCATCACTTTCCTGTATACGTGAAGAAGCAGAGTGGTCAGAACCACCTTCCTCAGGTCACTGAAGCATCCACACCGTAAGATCCTTCCAACAGTTTGCAATGAGTTTTGCCACCCAAATGATGGCATTCAAATTGACAGAAACTCCGCACTGGTTTTATAGAGAGACTGTTCCTCCACCGTCTTCGTAACAAGTGCCAAGAACCCTTTTTCAGAAGTGAAAAATCCATCTGCAGCTAAAACCTACCAAGCAGGCACCTTCCTTCCCAACCAGACAAAAAATCCTAAGGAGTTTTTTAAAAAAGAGGAAAGCACAGCCAGGGATCCCTTGGCAAGCAGCTTACCCGGCGGCCTGGCTGGTCCTGCTCCAGTCCTGCTATGGCTCTGTCAAGTAACCCCTCCAGGGTAGTAAGCACTGGGGAGAGGAAAAGGACACAGACATCATCAACCCCATCATCCAATGACTGCTCCTCAGGAGCCTCTATTCTGGCCTACAAAAACTGCAGTTATTTCTAGAGATAATGAATGCAATCAGTGCTCAACCAGAAAAAGAAAGAGAAGAGCTGAGAGACAGAGGAGGGAGGGGAAGAGATAAAAGTCCAAAATCCCCAGGTTGGCCAGAGAGTCCTTGGGCCCTCTGATTGCAGTATCCATTAGCCCAAGGGTTTCAAAGCCACCCCACTCACCCCCTCGCCCATTTCCTATACACCCAGCGCCTACAGATGGACATATCTTTTTCACACCTTGCAACAACAGTTCCTCTGCTGTAACAGATCCCCTCAACAGCAGCAAGACCGCTAGGCACCACTGTCCCACGACCACTGCCAACTGCCCCAAGACATACGGAAATGACTATATATACCCACCTCCCTTCTGGGAAAAAGCAGGAATTTCAAAGTCTAGCTCAGGGACTCTAGCTGTTGCACAGTCAGTCTTCACCACTTCCCTATTCATATCCTGGAGAGAATGATTTACAGGACAAGTTATACCAACCTAGAGATCATCCTAATGGGTTGGTACAAGGTAGGGAATGAAGTACAACTCAAAGAGGAATAAGTCAACTGATAAAAACTCCCCTTCTAAGACCAGCTGTCATTTTTAGGACCAAGAGCTGAGGCATACTGAAAAGCCCTGCCTCTGGGTCAAGAGCCTATTCTTAGAGGCAAAGAGAAAGCATTCTCTCCAAACTCCTAAAAGCATTTCGGAACTCTGCACCAGCTCCCCAGAGATGGGACACAACTCCTTATCTGAACAGTCTTTTAGGTGTGAGGCGGTGTTTCTTCAATTTATTTAGTTCTGAATGACTAACATTCTGTTGTACTCAACACAGCGTAAAACTACACCAGTGGACGTTCACAGGGATATGACTTCCACCGTGGCATCTTTTTTTGGTCCTGTTTCTGCAAGTTACGAAGGCATAGCTCTGCAACAGGATTTCAGTTACTGTCTGTTAAGTTGTGTACCACCAACCCTGGGAAAGAGGTGAATGAATGTTCATTCAAGCCCAAGCCAGTCCCAAAATCTGAGCCCTGCCCAGAGATGGCCTATCTTGGGACCTCAGAGCTGGATTTCTCTAGGCTGGGATGTGATGCGTAAAACAAATCTCCTACCCCACCCCCTCCAGTCACCTCCCGCATCAGCTTTGCTGTGTAAAGAAGGAGGCATAGCTGGGGCAACTTATTCAAAAGCAAGATTCAAGTGGGAGTGGGGGCAGAGCCTACAGCAACAGCCGCCTTCAAAGTTGACTGTTTTGGCTCACAGGCAACCCCACTGCACTGTACTGAGCGACGCCAGGAGGCAGCCTCACCAACCTGCTTGTGCCGCACCGCCAGCGTATAGCACACTCCCTGGTCCTCAATCCGGCCGGCCGACTGGATCTCCGAGTTTGACCAACTGCAGCTGTTGCAGGTGAAGGAACTGACAATGATCTCTTTGAAGAAGGGAATCTTAGTCAGTAACAGCCGAGTCACTCCCTAGGTTTTGTCGGGGGNAGGGAGAGGACAGTCTTAAGTCAAGAGCTCAGCAACTTTTGAAGCTTCCCCCTCCCCGAGGGAGGGACGCACCTTTCCCCTCTCTTCAGGACCAAGGCTCTCAGGGAGGCCTTCTCCCGCAGGCACGTCTCCCCAAGGGAGGCCTTCGCCGCAGCCTGGCTTGGGGGGGGCAGGGGGGCACCAGGGCAGGCGATGAGGAGGAGGCGCCGCCACGGGACAGAAACCCCCGCCCGCCCGCATGGCGCACACACACACACACCCGAGAGAGAGAGAGAGGCTTAAGAGACCTCTGGAAAAGGGCTCCCTGGCCCTGGGGGCCCCGATCCAAGCTGAGCTTCCCTAAGGCACCTTTTTGGGGCGAGGGGGTCCCCGCCACACACCCGCACCCGGGCTGCCCGTCCCATGGGTCTCCCTGCCTGCCTGCCTGCCTGCCCGCCCGCTCCCCTTCCCCGGGGGGGGGGGGGGCAGGAGAGGGGCCGGGCGCCTCGGGAAGGGAGGCCCGGCCC